CCTAGCCTGCACGATCTAAACAAACAAGTATAGGGGTAGCAAAGTTTCTGGCGGGGGACCAATGAAGGTTACTCTCACATCACCTATGAGGATTTTGAACTCCATTGTTTCCCAACAAAGAGGCCCAATTCCATTCACAAGTAGTTTTCCAGATGTACGCAGATGAGTTGTTGCTTATCAGTGAGTTATGCAACTGGAGAACAATCTGTTCTATCAACATTAAACCACAATAAGGTACAAACCCAAGGTTTTACATGCCCTAAAAAATGTAGTTCCTGTTACTCTAACCTTCACTGCAGGGAAAGGATGCATCATCTTTTTTTCTGGAAATCACAAAACCATAATGTTTCCTTCCACTTGGTTTTACCTGCTTTCATATTAAGGAAGGGAGAGAGAGAAAGAGAGAAAGAGAGAAAGAAAGAGAGGGGGGAGAGAGAAAAGAAGAAGGAGGAGAAGGAGAAGGAAAAGGAGAAGGAGAAGAAGGAGAAGGAGAAGGAGAAGAAGAAGAAGAAGAAGAAGAAGAAGAAGAAGAAGAAGAAGAAGAAGAAGAAGAAGAAGAAGAAGAAGAAGAAGAAGAAGAAGAAGAAGAAGAAGAAGAAGAAGAAGAAGAAGAAGAAGAAGAAGAAGAAGAAGAAGAAGAAGAAGAAGAAGAAGAAGAAGAAGAAGAAGAAGAAGAAGAAGAAGAAGAAGAAGGAGGGAGGGAGGGAGGGAGGAGAGAAGGAAGAAAGGAAAGAAAGAAAGAAAGAAAGAAAGAAAGAAAGAAAGAAAGAAAGAAAGAAAGAAAGAAAGTCACTCTAAGCAGCAATTTCATATCCAAAGTCTACTTCCCATTATTTCCACTTCATTAAATTGTTGCCCCACAATTTGTGTAACAACTGCAAAGGAAATTGCTCCACCACCATAGGAGAACTAGAAGTTTGCGTACTTTTAGCTCACAGAGATGTTGGGTGCCACTGTTTATCATTTAACTGTAAACTTCAACTTGGGTGTGAAGCCTACCCATAGGAAGAATCTTCTGATAAGGTATGACGGAAACAAAGAACAAAAACAGATTGCAGTATTATACAAGTAGATCAAAACCTGTTAAATTAAAAATGCTGAGTAAAACAATTCTGCATTGTTCAGTATGCAGTACTGAAGCTAGGACGATAGCCTGGAATGATGGGATGAGGACACCCTACCAGATGTGAACAGCATACCACCATCTTGCTGTCGAGAGAACCTTGGGTTTGCACCTTATTGTGGTTTAATGTTGATGAAACAGATTGTTCTCAACTTGTGATCACAATTGAGATTGGAACTTCTGTCACTAAGTGATGCAGTCATTAAGTGAATTGCTGCTTTTTTGCTGGAGTCATTAAGTGAGCCCAGTTTGATTTTACTTGTCAGAAGCCTCTGGCAAGGCTGCAAAGGGCAATCACATGATCCCAGGAAACTGAAAACTTTGTAAATACATGCTGGTTTCCAAGCACTTGAATTTTGATTATTTGAGGAGGCTATAAGTGCAAGGACTCGTTGTAAAGTCACTTTTTTTTCAACACTACCATCAGTTTTTTTCTAATTTACTCAATTCTGACTGACTCTGGATAGTGTACAACAAAATAAAACAATAGAAATGCAATGCAATAATTATGAAAGAAATAAAATATAAATAAAGGCCTCATCTTTTGTTTAATTGAAAATGAACATAGAGCATAGAATAATAGAGTTGGAAGGGACCTTTGGGGTCTTCTAATCTAACCCCCTGCTCCAGCAGGAGACCCTAAACCAGGGGTGTCAAACTGCCAGCCTGCGGGCCGAACGCGTCATCCAGAAGCTGCGCCCACCCCATGCTGGCAATGGCAACAAAACCGTCCCGATACATTCCGTGACATCACGTGACGTCGCGAGTTTGACATGTCTGTCCTGGACCATTTCAGACAAATGGTGGTCCAGTCTCTTTTAGAAAGCCTCCAGTGATGGAGCATCCATAACATCTGAAGGCAAGCTATTCCATTGGTTGATTGCTCTCACCGTTAGGAGTTTTCTCCTTAGTTCTAGGTTGCTTCTCCCCTTGGTTAGTTTCCATCCATTGTTTCTTCTCTTGCCTTTTGGTGCTTTGGAAAAGCACCTTATCTTTGTAGAAGCCCCTCAAATAATGAAACACTGCTCTCATGTCTCCCCTAGTTCTTCTTTTCATTACACGAAACATACCCAGTTCCTGCAACCGTTCTTCATATGTTTTAGCCTCTAGCCCCTTAATCATCTTTGTTGCTCTTCTCTGTACTCTTTCTAGAGTCTAAACATCTTTTTTTATAATACTGTGACCAGAACTGGATGCAGTATTCCAAGTGCGACCTTATTAAGACTTTGTAAAGTGGTACTAGAACTTAATGTGATCTTGATTCTATCCCTCTGTTAATGCAGCCTAGGACTGCATTGGCTTTTTTGGCTGCTGCTGCACACAGTTGGCTCATATTCAGGTGATTGCCCACTAGGTGGTTACATTTACATCATATTTCGTCTAGTAGCTTTATAAAAATAATGAAGGCAGGACATAAATACAAAAATAAATAAATTCTCCCAGGATAAGTCTGTTAATGAAAATGTAGCTCTCATTGTTTGGATGTAATTTGTTGTGGAAAGATGAACCCGGACCTCGAGACTACTGTTCATGCTGCTACAAACAAAATCCAGATACCACAGGTGATTTCTTAAAGAATATTTTTACTTTAAGATACGTTCAGTTAAACCAGATTACAAACTTTCCTTCAAAAAATGGACCCAGGAAATTACAGACCTATCAGCCTGACCTCAATACCTGGGAAGATTCTGGAAAAGATAATCAAACAACAAATCAGCGAACACCTAGAGGCAAACAAAGTCATTACTAAAAGCCAACGTAGGTTTGTCAAAAACAGATCATGCCAGGCAAATCTTATTGCATTCGTTGACCAAGTGACAAAATTAGTGGATCAGGGGAATGCAGTGGATATAATTTACTTGGACTTAAGTAAGGCATTTGATAAAGTAGATCACAACCTACTACTTGATAAGATAGAAAAATGTGGGTTGGACAGCATCACCACCAGATGGATCTGTAGCTGGCTGACCGGCCATACTCAGCGTGTGGTCCTCAATGGAACCGCATCTAAATGGAGGGAAGTGTGTAGTGGGGTGCCCCAGGGCTCTGTTCTGGGCCCAGTGCTCTTCAACATCTTCATCAACGATTTGGACTATGGGATAGATGGGGAAATCATCAAATTTGCAGACGACACCAAGCTGGCAGGAATAGCCAACACTCCAGAGAAAGGCTTAAGATACAGGAGGATCTGGACAGATTTAAACACTGGGCACTATCTAACAAAATGAAATTCAATGGTGAAAAAAGTAGTAACTGTGAGAGGGACCTCAGAGTCCTACTGGACAATCACTTAAATATGAGCCAGCAGTGTGCTGCAGCTGCCAAAAAAGACAACACAGTGCTAGGCTGCATTAACAGAGGGATAGAATCAAAATCACATGAAGTAAACACCACTTTACAATGTCTTGGTAAAGCCACACTTGGAATACTACATCCAGTTTTGGTCACCATGATATAAAAAAAAATGCTGAGACTCTAGAAAGAGTACAGAGAAGAGCAACAAAGATGATTAGGGGACCAGAGGCTAAAGCGTATAAGGAACGGCTTTTGGAATTGGGTATGTCTAGTTTAATGAAGAGAAGGACGAGGGGGGTCATGATAGCAGTGTTCCAATATCTCAGGGGCTGCCACAAAGAAGAGGAAGTGAAGCTATTTTCCAAAGTGCCTGAAGGAAGGACAAGAAGCAATGGATGGAAACTAATCAAGGAGAGAAGCAACCTAGAACTAAGGAGAAACTTCCTGACAGTAAGAACAATTAACCAGTGGTGGTGAATGCTCCAACACTGGAAGTTTTTAAGAAGAAACTGGACAGCCATTTGTCTGAAATGGTATAGGGTTTCCTGCCTGAGCAGGGGGGTGGACTAGATGACCTCCAAGGTCCCTTCCAACTTTATTATTATTATTATTATTATTGTTGTTGTTGTTGTTGTTGTTGTTGTTGTTGTTGTTGTTATAAACTTGGATACTTATAACTCCTGAATAATCAGTAAGATTAGATGTTTATACCCACTGTGACATTTATCCCCACAAATATCTCAGCATCCAATCTCCCTTGACCCAGGAGTAAATGTAGAACTTGCTTTTAGCTTCCCAAACCTTTTTTTTATTTTTAATTTTCTTTTCCCAATGAAGTCTTCTGGGCAATATTGAGCACTCAGTCAATTTTAATTTCCTTTGATGAAGTCTCTCTCTAGAAAATTGTGGGAAATTAACATGCTAAGCTTTGGCACAGGAGTCTGTCCCCAGCATCTGATAATGCTGTAAAACCTATCAAGAAGAGATATGACCCACAACAAATTATCTTACTCAATATGAACTATCACATCTGAACTTCAAATATTCAGACAGCCATTAGATGCTGGTAAAGATAAATTTATTGTGTCTCTCTTTCTTCACCAGTTAGTGGTCATCCAGATTTTTTCAGCTTAGGTTTGATAGGCCTGTCTCAGGAGCTCTTATACTTGGAGTTGGCCCTGACCCTTCACCCTTACACAAGCTATCCTTGAAGTTTCAGGGAAAAAAAATCATAGAAGCCCTACCACATTCAAATATAAATTTAATGTTAGTGGACAATAAAACAGCACACTATAATTGGGCACAAGAATGTGCCTTAATTTTGGAGCTGAGATAGTTTTGTTTCTTTTCCCAGTTCTTCCTCTAGTTAAGTCTTGAGACACTTCATTAGGCCAGTTGGCAATATTTCCAACACAGGCCTCTTTTGAATGTTCTTGGATAGGAAGCCCAAAAATTATCATTGTAGAGGACTGATTTACAGTCAGTTGTTGACAAGCTAAGAACTATAAGGCTTTTAAGATAAAAGAAAAGAGCTGCACATAGGATTCTAACAATGTTTTCTGCTTCTCTTCTTTTTTCACAGTGCCTACTCCACCTTCTGCCTCTAACAGGACCATGGTTAGTTGTATTGAAAGCCAAAATGCTACATCTTCCAAGCCTCTGGCAGGCGCATCGATAGGCATAGGGGTGCTGTCGCTTGCCTTCATCTTGGGATTCCCTGGCAATGCCTTCGTGGTGTGGACGGCCATCTGCTGGGTTCAGAAGCGGACAGTCACCTGCCTCCTCATTCTTCATTTAGCCATCGCTGACCTGGCAGTGCTCCTCACAGCTCCCCTATTCCTGCGATTCTTAAGTGTCAAGAAATGGGAAATGGGCCAGGCCATCTGCCAAATCTGCTATTACATCTGTGGGGTCAGCATGTACGCCAGCGTTTCCCTCATTTCCCTCATGAGCCTTGACCGCTGCCTGGCTATTTCCAAACCTTTCGTCTCACAAAAAATCCGTACCAGGCGCACCATCCGGCTTTTGGTTTTGGCGATTTGGGTGGTGAGTCTTTTCTTAGCTGCGCCTTCCCTCCTCTACCGGAAAGTGGTTACTCATAACGGCACAGCTTACTGCATATTGTGTCACCAAGAAGACAAGGAGCTGGTCTTCCATAACCTCTTTGAAACCATCACTGGATTTCTGCTGCCTTTTGTTATTGTTGTCTATAGCTACGGGATGATTAGTCAACGACTCAAGGAGACCCGTTTCCGCCAGAAACGCCGGACCAGCCGACTCATTAGCCTCATTGTGATCGCCTTTGCTCTTTTCTGGCTTCCTTACCATATCGTCAACCTTTTAGATGTGATTGGTCTGTGGAGTGGCTCGTCAAAGATTAAAAGAGCAGGGAAGATGGCTAGGCCCATTTTGGTGGCCCTTGCCTTTTTCAGTAGCAGTGTCAACCCTATCCTTTACACTTTCAGTGGGAGCTCCTTAATCCGATCATCTGGTATTGGTTTCATGGCTAAACTCTTTGAAGGAACAGCTTCAGAGATGTCTAGCGTAAAACATGGCACCATCCGGGACCGGGATGTCAAGACAGAACCCTTGAATAATGGGAAACCCGAGTCGTTAACTATGTCTACTAACCCTACAGATAGTAGTTCAGTTCAAGAAGGTGGAAAAGGCTTGAGGTTGCTCTCGTCAACTTGAGACTACACACAGGAGTGGACATTCATATTTCTGTTGTCAGTTTTTTAAAGGTCTTCTGAAGTGCTATAGAAATGATCTCTCTTACATTCTTCTATATCTTCTTCAATGATGTTTTGTACAAGATAGGCTGTTTCATTTCTTTTTTGTTTCATTCTGCAACATGACTGCAATTTTTGGAATTTCAGGGATATGAAGGTTTTTTTTTTTTTGCCTTTCATCATACAAACAATTTAATATTATGCTTAGGAAGCATTCCCAAGGATTGTTGCAAGTACTGTGAAAACCTCTCTGAAGACGTGAAAAGATGAATCAATGACTTTGGGTTCATTAAATGTTAACCTTTAGAGACCATGAAACACCAAACTTGCATACAGTCTGTCTCTACCCTAATTCTAACATATATACTTTGAAAATCAGAGCAGGGTTCATCCAATTTCACTTTTAAACAAACAGAAACCCTCAGTTTCCTCTTTTTTCCATTCTCAAGTCAATTGACAAAACTTTTGTGGAATGCTTCCCTCCCTGTTTTTATACATCAGTTTGCAATTGTCTTGAGAGAAGAAAAATGTGCTTAATGCTTTGTTTACTGTTAATATTCCTTCTGGAAACCCTCCCTTTTTTCATGTTCTATACATCTTTTATACATTCACATACATTTGAAATTTGGGGTGCATTCACTGTGCAACACCGCAGCAGAATCTTATAGTGGACTTCCATATACAAACCTTTTGTTTGCTTTTTGTGACTATGAATAAGAGGTTTGCTTAAGAGTAATTGAAATTTTTGAAGCGGAAAGGCAGGAGACAAACCATTGCTGAACAGATTAATTTAGGCCACTAGATCTACCCTCCTACCACTTCCTAAATTACAGGTAAACTTACAACCACAATTGGGACCAGAATTTCAGTACCGTTGTAATTTCAAATGGTTGCTATAGGAATGGTTGTAAGTTGAGGACTACCTATCATGTCCTCAGGGAGGGGAGGAGGGAATCCTGTCTCATAAACAACCCTAAAACATGATGCAACTTGCTAGCTTAGTCTGCCATCTTCTTCTTTGCTTGGCAGCAAGCTTTGGGGCAGCCCTGACACCCTGAATAAAAATAATCAGCCCATTTAGTCCTTCAGTGATGCCTTTGGGATTGGATAGTATACTGCTCACAAAAATAAAGGGAACACAAACGTATAGGATCCTGTACGTTTGTGTTCCCTTTATTTTTTTGAGCAGTATATTTTGATTCCACAAAGGTACTTCAGAATACAGAGATACTGAAATGCAACTCTTGAAAGCAGCCGTGTCATTCCCCAAGATCACGTGACAACTGCATGGGGCAAGACACAGCTGCATTCAAGAGTTGCAGTTAGGGCCTTATCTTTCCTTTCCTGTGCACCAGAAAACATATTTTTCAAATTACAGGTAATCCTCAACTTACAACAGTTCGCTTAGTGACCGTTCAAAGTTCCAATGGTACTGAACAAAGTGTCTTATGACCATTTTTTACACTTACAACCATTGCAGTATCCTCACAGTCTTGTGAACAAAATTCAGATACTTGGCAACTGATTCATATTTATGACAGTTGCAACAACCCGGGGTTATATGATCACCTTTTGTGGCCTTCTGACAAGCAAACTCAATGTGGAAATCACTTAACTACTGTATTCCTAACAACTGCAGTCATTCACTTAACAACTGTGGCAAGAAAGGTCATAAAATGGAGCAAAATTCATTTAAGAACTGTCTCGTTTAGCAACAGAAAGTTTGGGCTCAATGTAAGTCAAGGACTATCTTATGTTCTAACCCTGCACAGCCCTCAAGTTTGCATGCAGCATATTGCAGTTTTATCAAAGCTAAGAAATATTTCTTTCCCTTTCTAAACAAACACAGGAGGCCCTTTGGAAATTTGACATTCTGAAAGGAGAGGAGGGGAGGGGAGAGAAATATTTTTGTCAACTCCCAGATTTTTATGTGAGTTATGCACAAAGTTCATAGAAATTCTTTGATTAACTCCATCAGCAGGTGAGTTATTCTGCTGTAGTAATCTTGAAGAGATTCTCAGAAGGAACATTTAAAGCCTGACACAGCAGAATTATTTTTTTTATAAGAAGCAAGCAGAAATTCTGTCATGGCTGCATCTCATCTATCAAAACTTCATGAGCTGACAGCCTGACATTAGCACCAGGAGAGGAGGGGAGAGATTGAAATGTAAGGAAGAAGGGGAGGAGGGTAGAAACCCAGCTGAGCCTTGTGAGAAGCTTCAGCCAGTCAAGGTCAACTAATGATATGCAAAGCTGGGAACCGAGTACCTGTTTCCTAAACAATATACAAGCACCTGATTGGACATTTGCAGATAACTGGGGGATAGTGGCTGGGGGAGAGAGAGAGAAGGAACTTTCCTTGGTGTTGTTTGCGCTACTTCTGTAACCATTTTAGTTTCAGTAAAGTATACTCTTGGCAAAACAAATGGCCAGGAGTCTTTCTTTGCTAGACGACTGAGTGGAACAGTTGACAGATTCATGCAAAGGCTGCATATACTGGACAGGTATATTGAATGCAGAGCAGTTTTTTTCAGGAATCAAACTGCAACGGCCCACATGGTTTTGTGCAGAGCTGAGTGTGCACGTGTGTCACCTCTCCAGTGGGAGCTGCGTTCGTTGCCAATTTGCTTCTGGGTACATCACCTTTAAAGGCCTTGAGATAGGTTATCTGAGGAACCATCTCTTGCTGGTCACATCCACCAGACGCGCTAGAGCGGGGAGGCAGGGAATGTCGTGGGTCTCATCCCTTAAGGAGGTACATCTGGGGGGACACAGAAGAAGGGCCTTCTCCAAGATGGCTCCCTCTCTTTGGAATCTCATCCCTTCAAAAATTAGACTGCCTCACCCCAATTTGGTACCCTTTGTAAGGCCCTGTAGACTTGCTTTTGCAAGCAGGCATAGGGAACCCAGAGTGTGAAGGAGCCCATCAGATGGCTCATTTGACTGTGTGTTAAGGCTGGGGGTAGATGGGTGGTGGGTGGGAGAGGGTTGTTTTATTTTTATTTTCTATACTGTATTTTTATTGCTTGTAAGCTGCCTAAAGTCGCTGTGAGAGAGTAGGCAGCTATATAAATTTTCTAAATAAATAACATGTTTCATTTCGCACCCTTCAGGTTCTTATAAAAGTCATTTGTTTGCTTTAAGGCAACATTTAAGGGTTCTTTTTTTCTTTTTCTGGTAAAAGCAAAGCTTTTAGACACCCTCCAATAAATGATTTTTTTAAAAAAAAAAACTGGCCAAGAACTGCAATTCCAAGTATAAAGGTCTGCAACCCTATAAATGTTAACAAGAAAAGAGGCAACGCAAAACCAACCCAATAAGTCCTTGGTGACTTAAGATGTACAAATAAAATAGATAACACTGTTTATTTTTTTCCAACAAGTTAAATATGCCAGCTTTGGTTGTAAAGGGGAGTCTTTTTACACACACACACACACACACAGAGAGAGAGAGAGAGAGAGAGAGAGAGAGAGAGAGAGAGAGAGAGAGAGAGAGAGAGAGAGAGAGAGAGAGAGAGAGAGAGAGAATAGTGAGACATTTCTTCTGGCAAGGCCTGCTTTTACATCAGCAAAAGACACTGGATGACACAATTCCTGGAAAACTTACAATATATTTCAACTAAGATTTTACATTTACTCATTGTAAATTACTGGAAATCTCAGCTAAGGAGATTTCAGGGATAGCTTACTCCCTAAGTATTCAGGGCAACACCAAAGCAAATCATGAACTTAGCAATGTGGCAGGAACAGTTTTTTTTATCCTCAGAATGGACTTGACATATTAAATACGGTATTTTAAGAGAAGAAAGGTAGGAAGTATTGAATGTCGCACCCTTCAACTGTCCGACAATGCTTCTCCCAGATTTTCCTTTTACCATTAGCTAAGGTATGCTGGAAGTTATAGATTAGCCTCTGGAAGGTCATGAATTTTCCATTCCTGCTTTAAAACCAATGTAGAAATTAAATCTCCATGCTGTAAGCTCATCTTTTTTATAAAGTTTATGCTGCAATTGTTTAAAACACATTTGCCACACTTTTTTTTTCCAACTCTACATTGAGTTCAATTAGTGAAGTGACTAAGAAAAGAGAGAGAGAAAAGGTGAAGAAGAAGAAGAAGAAGAAGAAGAAGAAGAAGAAGAAGAAGAAGAAGAAGAAGAAGAAGAAGAAGAAGAAGAGGAGGAGGAGGAGTAGGAGGAGGAGGAGGAGGAGGAGGAGGAGGAGGAGGAGGAGGAGGAGGAGGAGGAGGAGGAGGAAGAAGAGAAGGAGGAGGGGGGAGAAAGAAAGAAAGAAAGAAAGAAAGAAAGAAAGAAAGAAAGAAAGAAAGAAAGAAAGAAAGAAAGAAAGGTAGTGGGGAGATCCCCTTAGTTGTTCAGTTCCTTTAACCACATGAACCTGCTTTTAAATTTTGGTCAGGCAAACATATGCCAGCATTGCAAAACACACAAACCACAAAAGAAAGAAGTGTTGCTGGGTCATCAAGCAGGAAGTTGACCTAGAAAGAATGGCAGGAAATGGTACAGTTTCTGTTGCCAACTTAATCTTCTTCCATCAGATATATTTGAGTCAATACCCAACCAGCTCTATGCAACTAGAAAACACCTCAATAATACCAGTACAATGACTTCTCTACTGCCCTCATTCTCAAATTATGCTTTCTATCTTCAGAGGCTCTATGAAGCCAATCCTCAATTTTGTTTGAACTTAAAAGTCTTCTGGACATGATGGTTGTGGTTTGGTAATATCAGTACAGACCAAATTGAAAGAAGGTTGTGAACAAATCATCATCAAGCACCAGAGATTAGTAAACATATAAAACACTGAAAATCCTCAAAGGAGGATCCATTGCCTCCAAGTTGATTGAAGAATTGCAGCTTTCTTTCTTCAGATCAGGAGAAAGTTCTAACTTGTCTTCTCAAGAGGATTTCCAAATGTTCTTAGTGGCTCACTTCTCCCCAATTGCAATTACAATTAAATAAGGGTTTGCTGTGGTGACCGAGCTAGAGATTTTCTCATACAAGACGAAATGGAACCTCCTTAGGCTCTGTTTCTCCTAATTCTCATGGTAAATGCTTCTTCTGTCAGAAAGGTCTGTTAAAATAAGCAACTTGCTGCCCCCCCCAAGTACCAGGAGGAATTCACTGAGAATTCCAACCCTCATGAGTCACAGTTTCATTCCACAAGTTTAACTCAACATCGGTGCTTGGGAGCAAGAACGAGCCGTTTCCGTACAGACAAAATAAGTTCTAAGTTCACCTTTGCCCTTGACCTTGATAACCCCACGAAGGGAGCAAGTGTAGCCTAATGTCTCCAAAGCTTTAGCCGTCTCTTCTGTGACCTAGGAGAAGAAAGAAGGAGAATGTAAAAGTGGTCGATATAGCTACAGCTAGATGGTGGAGTCTTCGTTTACATTTGCAATGCATGAGCCGTGGTGGCGCAGTGGTTAGAATGCAGTACTGCAGGCTACTTTGGCTGACTGCCGGCTGCCAGCAGTTTGGCAGTTCAGTTCTTACCAGCTCAAGGTTTACTAAGCTTTCCAACCTTCCGAGGTGAATAAAATGAGGACCCAGATTGTTGGGGGCAATATGCTGACTCTGTAAGCTGCTTAGAGAGGGCTGTAAAGCACTATGGAGCGGTATGTAAGTCTAAGTCAGTGGTTCTCAGCCTTTTTAATGCCGCGACCCCCAACCGGTCGTAAGTCGAGGACTACTCAACCGGTCGTAAGTCAAGGACTACTCAACTGGTTCAGCACCATTTGCAGACTGGGATTTTCGGTGGGCTCAGCAGGGCAGAGACAGCCTGGACAATTCCTATTGGCTTTTGAAAGCCAATAGAATTAGACTCTATTCAAGAGAGTCTATTCTATTGGCTTTCAAAAGCCAATAGAATAAAAGGGAGTAGCACAGCTAAGGAAAAGGGGGAAAAAATGGCGGACTGCGTTGTTTGGTGACCCCCGTGAAATGGTCGTTCGACCCCAAATGGGGTCCCGACCCACAGGTTGAGAACCACTGGTCTAAGTGCTATTGCTATTTTGGGTAGAAACCCCTGCAGTTGGTATGGCAAGAGTTAGTATATCCCAATGACTCTCTGCCTAATTTAAATTTTTCATTTTGACTGAAGAAGTT